TGGCTCATCTGTGTTCGAGGGGAGGGGCTTACCGATAGGTCAATTGGAACGTCCTAAGCCAGGGGTGCCCAATCCTGTTCCTGGAGATCTACCTTCCTGCAAAGTTCAGCTCCAACCCTTATCAAACATACCTGGACCAACTATTTAGGATCTGAAAGAGCACTTGATAATTACAGACAGGTGTGTTTGATCAGGGTTGGAACTGAACTTTGCGTCCCGTACAGGGGTGTGTTTCCCGTACAACGACGTAACTCAATGATTAACCACCATAGTACGATGCATTGTTGTGGAAACTTACTAGCCAGTCACGACTGTTTCCTGAACACGGTCGCATCTCCGTTGTTTGAACCACATTAGTTCAACAATTTAGTGCCGTTTTTAATGACGTCACATGCATGTGGTGGAGTAATAACTTCTGCTAATTAAGATTTCCCAAGATTAACCAAGACTTGAATCAAGATTTCTGAGACGCTGCTGCATTGAACATGGCACCTGATGACTAATTTACTATGTTTGTTCCCTGTCATTTTGCTTTATTTGATGTTTGATTCATCGCGGGTTTCCTCTTACGTCATACTCTGGGGTTCCCTTAGGCATTTATGCACATGCGCACTCTTCAAAAATGACGCTAATTGAGGACGCGCTAACATTTATCGATTAAAATGTATAATGTATAAAAAATATATTTAAATTGATTGGAATATATAGATTGTGCTGCATGTTAGCTGGCTTATTCACTGGCTTTATATCGCACACTCATCTAGGCCACGCAGAAAAAAAGGGTCAAAATTGTACCTTTTTGGGTACAACAGCTTGTCACTGGAGTAGTACCCTTAAAAGGACATCTTTGTACCTTTTTTACCCATGGCCATGGCCGGACTTACCATTGGGCTTGACTGGGCTGCAGCCCAGGGGCCCCGCCTTGTAGGGGGCCCCACCTTAACCCGTTTACATTTGTTCAGTTATGTGCCAGTCGGAAATTATTAGCCGCATTTCAACTGCGCACACGGGCCAGCCTGGGCTAACAGCTTCCAGCTTCCAACTACGACATTCGAAGCCATAATCAAACAGCATAAACTGGAATTTATGATTTTTTTTTCACATAGAAAAAAGACACGTATTAAATCACGTCTGCGCTGCGCCGAATCGCCGATTAATTTGTGATCACATGCATGGCTACTTTAAACGGTTCCATTAAGCCTTTAACCCAAAAGAGCGCACGTTTACAAAAATAATGATAAATTCTCACACAATTCCCGCACACATTTATTTAATATACAATGTAGGTTAGATGAGTTAAAAAAATTTCACACAGAATATCAGATTAAGTCAAAAGATAGCTGCTGCACACTGCCATACAAGATTTTCGCTCAGCTGACAGGACTGTCACTTGCCTAATCGGGTCAGTGCTGCATCATCAGAAAAATGTTTATCATTTGCATGTCTTTTTAAACCATTCGGTACTTGTGCGCTCCAAACTAGATTTCTGGGCGCTCTCTGATATTAAATTAATGTACAAATTTGACTCCTGCGCATGAATCCACGTTCAGAGATTTGGCCGGTTAGTGCCAAAAAGCTACAACTTAAAATGTTAAGTGCACTGAACTAAATTGGGCTCTTTGAATTTCAGTAACATTGAACCGACTTAAAAAATCAAGTTGAATCTAGTATAACTTATAAAAAAAAGTTGAAATTGCTTAAATTATTTTTATGAATTAAAGTAACTTAAAAACATAAGTTGTCATGGCTTTTTCATCATATCATTTTTTACAGTGTGCATTTAATGAGTGAATGCCTACGATATAGGAGTTAGCCTGTCACACAAACTAGAGTCCTGTTTTTCCGAATATCTGCACGATCGCAAATGTACAATAAACAACAAGTTACTAAGTAACTTTCAGACACAAAATTCTGTTTTTCCTCATCAATGCGTCTCTGAGCAACACAGTGTTTTGTTTCTCAGCATTACACGGATCAGTAAATGGTTCAAACAGGCTACAAGTACAGTCCTTTGCTAAGTTAAATGAATTAGCATTTTAATTATTAGCATTCTCATCTCAAATGAGAGATCACATCCTGTTTATTGTATTATAATGACTATTTAATGTTACATCTAAACTTTGACTAGGCTAGACATGTTGCCTATTAATTGTATACAGTATATGAACCTGAAAGCATATTGTAATTTTTGTGTATTTTGTGTTACTCCATAATAATGTTCTAGTTGAGGGCATTTGTAGTATAGGTATGGGGCCCAAACATAACCTCAAGCCCAGGGGCCCCCGGCCCCGTAAGTCCTGCCCTGCCCATAATAGGTACATATTAGTACCTTAGAGTAGTAATTCGTACCCTTAAGGTATATGTAGGCAGGGCTTGAAAACGAAAAAAAAAAAATTCAATCGGTTCACTCAAGAGCAGAATCGATATTTTAACGTTTCTGTTCCCGTGTTCCTCTGTATTATTACTGCTCCAAAACTGGTTCGGGTAGAAGAAATACTGGTTAATAACGTTATTTTTTAAAAACAATTTTCTTTGTCAATAATAATAATAATAATAATAAAGTACAGCATTTTCTTTACTCAAAAAGAAAAAGAAAAAAAAAACAGGAAGAGATCTGGTAACGTTAGTCTATAACCCGCTGCACTTAGTCACAGCCAATACAGCATCATCTTTTCTAGATGTAACCGAACGCTACTCTGCGATCACACTAAATTCCGACTATGCCACTGGGGTTTTGTACCCACGGAAATAACTCAACACAGCAACACAAGTTCAATGGCCCATAAATGAAGGAAGAACAGAGACGTGACCTTCAAGTTCACTTTTATTAATAAGCAGTAGGCATTATTTAGATGGATGATCAACTTTAATATAGTATTAAAAAAGAGGGAATCGCACTTAAAAAATCTGGGCTTTAGGCCAATTATTAAAATCATAACCCACCATTCTTAAAATATAGGGTTACCAAGCCTGCTGGAGGAAGGGGGCGAATCATGGGGTCACAGACCCCCAGACGTAAGAGCACACACTACACGTGCACTGATATACAAATCATTAACCAACAGCTTTAAAAAAGGTGTAGTGAATAATGCAAATAGTGTTACACTCTCAACTCGATACTCATGCAGTGCAGTAAATCTCACACTGCCATGCATTGAAGAAAGGGAAACCCGGACGACCCCAGAGGAAAGCACTCCATGCAGGCTGGTTCCTACAACACAGAGTTTTGAATTAACAAACCTAAACGGTTGTCAAAAACTAGACTCAGCTAGCAAAAACAATTAAATCTGCAAAATTTACAGCAATACAAATCATCAGAACCATAAATATAAACTAAGTTTAAATTACAAAAATGAATCAAACAAAACAGCAGGGCCTAGACATCAGAGTTCCATATGCAAAGAGCTCCACAAAGAAAGATCTGTCAAGTAAAGAAAACAAAACGTAAATACAAAATACAAATGCCTTTCCTACCTCGATTACTGTAGTCCCTTCGATAAACCAACTGTCCTTCTTTCAAATAGCAGCTATAACCCTTCTGATCATGCCTCTCCTTCCTCAGTCTGGCTGCCGCTTGAATCCTCTCCCGAGCACCATCAAAAGCCACTTGCAAACGCTTCCGGTGTTCCTCCATCTAATCCATTACTGTCACTGCTGTTGGCTGTAAAACTATCCCAAGGAGGAAATCAACTGGTAAATTAGGTTCTTGGCCATACATTAAAAAAATGTGGGCACTCACCTGTTGTCTGATGTATGGTGGTATTATAAGAGAACAACAATTGAGGCAAATAATTAGGCCATTCAGCTTTTGCAGACCTGGGAAGTGTACAAAGGAGGCCATGCAGTGTCCAGTTAAACCTTTCACATTGGCCATTGCCTTGGGGATGGTAGGGCGTGGTGCCTGTCTTCTGTATCCCATACAGGTTGCAAAGTTGTTGTATCAATGCCCCTTCAAATCTTCAACCCTGGTCTGAGTGAATGCGGGCTGGGTCTCCAAACCGGCAAAACCATTCCTTCACCAGAACATTCGCTACAGTGGACGCTCTCTGGTCATAAGTTGGAACTGCCTGCGTAAACTGAGAAAACATCAATTATTATTTATACTTGCTCCTTACTATCCCTTGAACGCTCCAGGAGAGTAAAATCGATCGCTAGAATTTTATTTGGTCTTGCAGCAACCAGATGTCCCATCGGTGCCTTC